AGCTACAGGACCGGGCAGTATCAATTTGTTTTCTCAGAAGGAATCTAGATTAGTTAATTTGGAGCTTGCAAAGGCTTTTAACTATTTAATATGATTTTCAGAGCTGGCTATGACATGAACCTTAAAATTCTTGTTCCCTGGAAGTACCAAGAGAAGGTACTGCCATGCGGTTAAAAGATCAAACTCCCACGGACATAAAACTTTGGTCTCCCAAGGTGCTGGGATTACAGGTGTGAGCCACTGCACCTGGCCTATCCCCCTAAATCTTAGAAGGGACTCTAACCCTCCTAAGTCAGGCCTCTAACTCGAGTTCAGTCAAGTGTCCTTACCTTTCATTAAGAAGGACCTGTAACTCACTGTATCTTAGGAGAGACTGTAACTCCCCTAAGTTGGGCCTCTGACCCAATCCCATTCTTTACCTGGGTGTCAGCCCATGGGTGTGCCGGATTGTTTTCCTTTGGGCAGGGGTACTTCAGTATCATGCAGTCTATGGTCCGCCAGAAATATGTTACAAGACCCCAACACTTACCCAAAGGTAGCCGTAGGGTCAGGGTTTCTGCACTATATATAGCCCCTTCGCGGTTGCGAGAAAGACGTTACCAGAAAGGGGTCCCAATCCAGACCCCAAGAGAGGGTTCTTGGATCTCGTGCACGAAGGAATTCAGGGTGAGTCCGCAGTGTAAGGTGAAAGAATGTTTGTTTGTTTGTTTGTTTATTTATGAGACAGAGTCTCGCTTTGTCGCCCAGGCTGGAGTGCAGTGGCTAATCTTGGCTCACTGCAAGCTCCACCTCCTGGGTTCACGCCATTCTCCTGCCTCAGCCTCCCGAGTAGCTGGGTCTACAGGTGCCCATCGCCACGTCTGGCTAATTCTTTGTGTTTTTAGTAGAGAAGAGGTTTCACTGTGTTAGCCAGGATGGTCTCGATCTCCTGACCTTGTGATCCGCCCGCCTCAGCCTCCCAAAGTGCTGGGATTACAGGCGTGAGCCACCGCGCTGGGCCGAAAGCAAGTTTGTTAAGAAAGTAAAGGAATAAAAGAATGGCTACTCAGTTAGACAGAGCAGCCCCGAGGGCTGCTGGCTGCCCATTTTTATGGTTATTTTTTGATAATATGCTAAACAAGGTGTGGATTATTCATGCCTCCCCTTTTTACACCGTATGTGGTAACTTCCTGATGTTGCCAGGGCATTTGTGAACTGTTATGGCGCTGGCGGGAACGTAGCAGTGAGGACTACCAGAGGTCACTTTTGTGGCCATTTTGATTTTGGTGGGTTTTGGTGGGTTTGGTTTTTGTGGCTCCTTTATTGCAACCTGTTTTATTAGCAAGGTCTAAAAGTCTTTATGACCTGTATTTTGTACTGACCTCCTATCTCATCTTGTGCCTTAGAATGCCTTAACCATCTGGGAATGCAGCCCAGTAGGTTTCAGCCTTATTTTACCCAGCTCCTATTTAAGATGGAGTTGCTCTGGTTTACACGCCTCTGACAAAATAATCATGATATGCATGTTATAATTTTTAAGGATATTTTAAATGCAAACATATAGTTATACATTGAAAAAATCTATATGTAATTTTGGCTTTTAATTTAAAATAATATTTATATGTTAATAAATATATATTGTGTGCAATATCATTTTCTATTTCTGCATGGGATACCACTGCACATACATGCCACTAGTTCTGCATTTATTCATTATCATTGATACTTTGTCAGGACTCTTTAAGTTGCAAGGAACTGCCCCAAAGAGAAATTTTTTGGCTCTGTAATTAAAGCCTCAACAGGCTGTCTTCCTCTGATGTCCAGATATCTACCAAAAGTTCCAGGGTTAAATCCTTTAAATTCCAAGTCCAGCAGGAGGAGGAAACAAACATCACTTCAACAATGGCTTCAAATGTTCTTGTTCTAGAGGTCAGTGACTAGACTAACCCGGAGCCAATCACTGTATGCATTTGGTGACAGTGGTATTACCAGAGCAAGGGGATACAAATGCTGATGGGAAAAAATAACAGCTGTCCACTACAGATGTTTCACATTATTCCCAACTATTTGCTTTAATGAACTGTACCCCATGGACTATCCTTGAACATAAATCTTTGGAGACATGATTGATAATTTCCATGGGATAAACACTGGATCTAAGAGCATGGCATACTTTTAATGAATTTGATACCTTTTGCCAAATTGCCTTCCAGAAAAGGCTACCAGTTAACCTGTGCTTTGAAAAATAGAAAGCTGTGGAAAGAAAGTTTTTATCACTTTTTTAAAAGTTTGACATATATTGAATGAAGACTTAAAAAGAAAAGATTGCTAGATTCAATTCTATGAGGTGAAAAATCTGTACATTGAAAAAAAGCTCAGATAAAAATTTCTTCATATCCTTATAATTACTGCTAGGCAAGAATTCTGTCTTGTTTTACTTTGCTTTTATATGAATTATTCCTAATGTAAATCATTTTTATATGCCTATATCTACTGGTATTTTTATATTAAGATTTTTCCATGAATGCCCTTTAGCCATTTATCTATTAGAGTACTGTCTTATTCCGTTATAAAAGTTGCCACATATTAACCTTATCTTTGTCTTACATGTTGCAAATGCTTTACCAGTTTGTCACTTGCCTTTTAATTTGCTTGGAGTTCATAAAGTTTAGAGCATATCATATATAAATCTGGTTTATTACCCACCCGTAAAACCTGATTCTACCACTTTGTAGTGTATCTTTAGGCAAGTTTGATAACCCCTGTTTACCTCAGTTTCATCTTTGGTAAATGAGGATCATAATATATTTTATAGGAGTGTTATGAAGATTCAATGAAATAATTATTTAGAATAGGCCAGGTACTGTGACTCACACTTATAATCCCAGCGCCTCGAGAGACTGAGGCAAGAGTATGACTTGAACCCAGGAGTTTGAGACCAGCCTATGCAACATAGCGAGACCCGCATCTCTACAATAAAGTAAAATAATTATTCAAGTGTTGCGGCACATACCTGTAGTCCCAGCTACTTGGGAGGCTGAGGTGATACATTGCTTGAGCAGAGAAGTTCCTAGGTTGAAGTGAGCTATGATTGCATCACTGCACTCCAGCCTAGGTGACAGAGAAAGACTCCCCAAAAAACTCCAAAATGCATCAGAATAACTGAAGGCAATGTCTAGCACATAGTAATCTATTTTAGATATGATTTTTATTTATATTGTTTTTCAGTATACAGAACCTTTTAATCTCATATAATTTAATCTAGCAATCTTTCTTTTAAGCCTTCTGTATTAGTCCACTCTCACCCTGCTATAAATAACTGCCGAAGACTGGGCAATTTATAAAGGAAAGAGGTTCATACATGGCTGGGGAGGCCTCAGGAAACTTACAATTATGGAGGAAGGGGAAGCAGGCATGTCTTACATGGCAGCAGGAGACAGAGAGAGAGAGAGAGATTGAGAGATTGAGATTAAGAGCAAGAGATGATCTGCCAAACACTTATAAAACCATCAGATCTTGTGAGAACTCCTTCACTATCATGAGAACAGCATAGGGAAAACTGCCCCCATGATCCAATCACCTCCCACGAATGCCCTCCCTCAACATGTGGCTAATACAATTCGGACTGCAATTGTTGATGAGATTTGGGTGGGGACACAGCCAAACCATATCACCTTCAATACGTGCCTAAGCTTTTTATAAAAAGGTAAGAGAGACATTTTCACAGCTTTCTGTCTCCCAAAGCGTAGATTAACTGGCCAGAATTCATAGCTACTTTGTGTCATTGCTAATTCATACAGATTTAACAGAATAAAAGATTATCTGATAATTAATGCCACTGAATTGCACACTTAAAAATGGTTAAAATGACAAATTTTACATGATATATATTATACCACAATTTTTAAAAAGTTAATAATATATCAAAAACCATTTAATTGTACATTAAGTGAATGCTTTGTATGATATATGAATTTATATCTCAATAAAGCCCTTTTAAAAAAAAAACCTGAGAAAGTAATGTCTTTTTAGAGTAAGTAATTTCACTACTATTTCCAAATGAAAGCACTGTTACAGTAAGAAACGCTTTGCATTGTGATTCATTCATTTGACAAATATTCATTGAGCACCTAAGAGCCAAGCCCTGTGCTAGGCCCTGGAGATTCACTGGTGACCAAAACAGTCATGGAGCTTATAGGAGAGGTGTGGGGGACAGATGTTTTAAAAAACTTAATCTCGCCCAGGCGCGGTGACTCACGCCTGTAATCCTAGCACTTTGGGAGGCCGAGGCGGGCGGATCACAAGATCAGGAGATCGAGACCATCCTGGCTAACATGGTAAAACCCCATCTCTACTAAAAATACAAAAAAATTAGCCGGGCATGTTGGCGGGTGCCCGTAGTCCCTGCTACTTGGGAGGCTGAGGCAGGAGAATGGCGTGTACCCGGAGGCGGAGCTTGCAGTGAGCCAAGATCATGCTACTGCACTCCAGCCTGGGCGACAGAGTGAGACTCTGTCTCAAAAAAAAAAAAAAAATTAATTTCAATTGAGTGTTCAGTTACAAATCTGAGATAGATACTATCATAGAAAACTGAGAATTACTATATAATGAGAAAATAATTTAGATATGGGGTTAGCAAAGGCCTCTTTGAGGAAGTGAAGCTGTGACTTAAAAGAAGAATAGGATTTATCCAGGAAAAATTTTCAGCAGATTCTGTGAACATCTTAAAGTAAATAAGGAAGAGCTTATAGTGACCCTGAATTTTGTGGAACAACAACAAAAACAAATATTCTGCTAATTTTCTTTAAAAGGCCTTTTAAGGAAATGTTCTTATTCCATAAGTGATGCTAAGATGCAGTAAATCTTCTGTGTCAGTGCTTCTTAGACCTTAATGTGCCTACAGATTTACCTGAGAATCTTGTGAGATGTAGGCTCTGATGCAGTCTGTCTGGACTGGGGCCTGAGATTCAGGGAATGCCCACATTGCTCTGCGGAGGACCATGCTGAACTGAGGAAAAAAGGCAGACATTTCAGAATTCTGGAATTATTTTGTAAACTCTCTCTTTATTTTCAGTTCAAGCAAGTTTTCTGCTGTTGGATTTCATAAAGCTTTGACAGATGAGCTGGCTGCCTTGCAAATAACTGGAGTCAAAACCACATGCCTCTGTCCTAATTTTGTAAACACTGGCTTCATCAAAAATCCAAGTACAAGGTAAGTTGAGAAACTGAGACAAAAGGATTGGTGGTTGCCATGAATACCAGCCATTCTGTGGGTTTTCCTAGATGTTTTAATCCCTAAAACACCTGATATTTAATGCTCTTAGTTCATTTTGATTTCAGCTTCTGTAGATTGTGGGAAAACAGGTGGAAAGCCAAAAAGAGAGAAAGCAAGGGAGAGTGACTAAAAAAGTAAATATGAATGACATAGGTAAACTTGCGAACTCTTCCTTTTTTCTTCTCCTGAGTAATGATTCACAGGCATAAATATACAAACATGTCACCAGGTGTGCTTGGGAACTATGTAGGGGCCTCCCCCTCAGATATGTTGACTTACTGGGTTTGATTGGGGTAGGGTAGTGGCAGGGAAGGGGGCCTGGAACTCTACGTTTAAAAAAGGTGATTATCATAGGTGATTCTGATAGAGATAACCCAGGACCACATGTGAAAAACACTTCCCTTTGGTAATCTAGCGATTAGCCTCCAAAAGGAGTACCAGATCATATTCTTTCCTTGGTTAAAAAATAAAATTATAAAGGATTAATTTGAAGATAATTTTTAATGTTTTCTCTTTTTAGAAATAGCTTTAATGTCTTTGTAAACATAATGCATACTTATTTGTTTAAATGCCAATGTTACTGAAAAATACAAATCAAAAAGGTTCTTTTTAAATCTCCTTAAAACCCTCTATCGGGTGGAAACCACTCTTAAAATTTTGATGAACATCCTTCTAGACTTCTCTGAATTTTATATAACTGGCGTATGTTACACATAGGGTCCTGGAAGCAGCAAGTACACTGCATACTTCCCTCAGCATTATGTTATAGACATCTAATAAAGTACAGAGCATTATAAAATTGTATTGATTATTGGGAGCAATAGCATCTCCTTGTGATGATTTTAGGGTTGTTTTTAGTGTTCTGGATTTTTACAGCAAATCAGCAATAAGCATGCTTGGGCACACATATTTTCACTTTTGGATAATTATCTCCTTCAGGTAGATTCATAAAGGGGGATTACTGGGCCAAAGGGTATATAACTTGTAAATATTCCTACATATTGCCAAACTCCCCTCCAGAAATGCTGCACTGATTTGCACTCCTACCCACGGTGCAGGGAGAGCACCTTACTCTCTACTTCTTCACCAGTCTGCTTTCTGTGACTCTCTTAATCCCTGCCAATCCAATACACGACGAATCATCTTTCTTTTTACCCTGATGACTCGCTACATTCATGTTTGCATATGATTTTTGGACATTTGACTTCTTTTATGAATTGCGTGTTTCCATGACATCAGCTCACTTTTTGCTATTGAGCTCTAGAGTTGTTTTTGTTTTTGTTTGTTTTTTGGGTTTTTTGAGATAGGGTTTCACTCTGTCGCCCAGGTTGGAGTATAATGGCGCAATCTCGGCTCGCTGCCACCTCAACCTCCCAGGTTCAAGCGAGTCTCATGCCTCAGCTTCCCGAGTATCTGGGATTACAGGCACGCACCACCACGCCCGGCTAATTTCTGTATTTTTAATAGAGACGGGGTTTCGCCATGTTGGCCAGGCTATTCTCAAACTCCAGGCCACAAGTGATCCGCCTGCCTTGGCCTCCCAAAGTGCTGGGGTTACAGGCGTGAGCCACCACACCCAGCTGAGCTCTAGAGATTTTTAATTGATACATAAGAAAGAATTCTTCATACATTTGAGGAGCCCCTTTATATATCACGTACGTTTTTTTCCCCAGTTTTTTTGTTTGTTTGTTTGTTTGCTTTTAAACCTATTTTCATTTAGTTTTACATTAAAATTTTCTTAGGGACTTTCTTCTCGTGGCCTTTAGGTTCTGTGAGGTGTTTAGAAAGGTCTTTCTCATTCCGAGCTTATGAAAATATTTACCCATATTTTTTCTAGCATATATTTTATGGTTACATTTTTCATACCTAAATCATTGCCCCACCCAAATTTATTTTGATTTAAGAAGTAAGGTCACAGTATAGTTTGTTTTTTCCAAATAGTTAATGAGTTTTCTGTACTATTTATTAAATATTACATCATTTCCTCACTGATATTAAATTCATATTATAAGTTCATATGCTTACTTGGATAGACTTTTGGATTCCCAATTTTATTGTAATGACGAGATTCAATTTTGCTTAGTTGTGTTTTGTTTTTGAGACAGGGTCTCACTTAGGCTGAAGTGCAGTGGTGTGATCGTGGCTCACTGTAACCCTGAACTGGGCTCGAGCAGCCCTCCACCTCAGCCTCCTGAGTAGGACTACAGTGTGTGCCACCATGCCCAGCTAATTTTTTTTTTTTTTTTTTTGAGAGCCAGGGTTTTGCTGTTTGCCCAGGCTGGTCTCGAATTGACCTTGAGCAATTCTCCCACCTCCACCTCACCTCCCAAAGTGCCAGGATTATAAGCATGAGTCCCTGCATCCAGCCAAGATTCAATTTTTAAGTTTTATTCTGCCCCCTCAAACTTCCCCATCTTTCCCCCAATTCAGCTGCCTTTGTTGAAAATGTATTTAAAATTAATGAAAAATATTCAGTGTGGTCACTTGAAGGGTTAATGGGTTCTAATTTTTTTCCTTTTTTTTTTTATTTTTTATTTTTATTTTTTTTTTGAGACAGGGATTCACTCTGTCACCCAGGCTGGATGCAGTGGCACAATCACAACTCTCTGCAGCCTTGACCTCCTGGGCTCAGGCAATTCTCTCACCTCAGCCTCCCCAGTACCTGGGACCACACAGGCATGTGTCCCCACACCTGGCTAATTTTTAAATTTCTTGTAGAGACAGGGTCTCCCTGTGTTGCACAGGCTGGGCTCAAGGGCTCCTTGAACTCAATTGAAACTCCTGGACTCAAGTCATCCTCCCAACTTCAGCCTCTCAAAGTGCTGGGATTACAGGCGTGAGTCACCATGCCCAGCCTAACAGGTTCTATTTTATTTTATTTTATTTTATTTTATTTTATTTTATTTTATTTTATTTTATTTTTATTTTATTATTTTATATTATTTTATTTTATTTTTTATTTAGTAGAGACGGGGTTTCACCATATTGGTCAGGCTGGTCTCAAACTCCTGACAGGTGATCCACAGCCCCCAGGTTCTATTTTAAATACATTTAATTTAAGTCATCCCACAGGGAAGCAGAACAGAAAGCCAACGTTAGACAGAAATTTGGGAGCTGTCCAAAGATCTCAAGCCCCCAAGAATCTATCAAATAGTCTTTAAAATCTATTTTTAATACACAATTTTGTTAGAAAGCAAAAGTAAGAGTATTTATTTTAGAGGTCAGTGTTTAAATTTATCAATATTAAACCAGAAAACCCTAACTGGAGTCTGAAGAGACAAGAGAAGGGACAGATAAGTTTTTCAGGTTGGGAAATGGATCTGAGGAATGAGAGTGGTGAGGATAAGCTTCAGTAAAACTGAAAGCAGATGTTGAAGATAAAACTTGCCAGTTTCCTCAATTTCTTTTTCAGTATGTGGATACTAAAATGACATATTTGAGTCAAGTTTTTAAGTCATACTATCTTTCAGTAGTTAAAAACAGACATCCTATTTTCAAAAGTTATAATTGAATTTTTTAACCTTGCGCCCTTGACAAGACCACACAGAGCTGACCTTAATGTGGGCTCCAGTGCCCTCTCCTGACAAAACTTACTAGTGCCATTAAAAAAGAATTAGGAAGCCCACTCTTGGGGGAAAAGTGTGAACAGAGGCTAAGATTATTCTAGGCTGAATATAAACCTGACCAAGGAAGGGCCTAGAATATTGATCTTGACATATGAACCTCTTTGAGGCTAAGCTGGTACTAAAGTAGACTCCAAAGATGAAGTTAGTTTTAATATAGAAACTTAGTACTTCTAATTAGAAGAGAGAACGTATTCCTCATTAAATACCTGTTTACATGTCAGACACCAAATAAAATGTCATTTTCTTAAACCTCACAACAATACTTTGGGGGAGATGTTATTAGTCCTTCTTCACTAGATGAGAGATGTCTGAGGTTTAGAGAAATTAAGTAACTTGCCCAGTTACTGAGATTCAGATTAAGCTACATAGGCCTTTCTGAATAAAGAAAATTGAACCAATCTCTAAATGGCTGAATTATAAATATTTTGTTTCATATTAATATTGGAACTTAAATTCTGTTTGAGAGCATATCTAAGATGTAGTTTATTGGTTCTTATATTTACACAGCTAACACACTGCAAAGAAACTGTTTACTAGAAAGGTGTAATACAGCATAATATGGGTTTATTGGAATTAAATGTAAATCAGGTGTTCCGATTATTTTTTTTAAGCTCAGTTATTTTTATTAAATAAACCTGAATTTCAATAAATAGTGTTTAAAAATTTTTTAAATATATATATATATATAT